TAATCTTAATTAATAATTGAAAGAGTAAAAAAGGAACATATGAATTGAAAGCATCATGGATATTTCAAATTAATTTAATGTTTGAGCAAAATATTTGTTTTTTTTTTAACTTTTTCATTTTATAATATATAACCGTGACATAAAATACCTAAAAAATGTATCTAGCTATTTATACATTAATTATTGGTCATATTTTTATGTTTTTTTAAGAAGTAGAATTAAATTTAGGATTGAAGATTTGAATCAAATTGTAGGTTTACAGTGTCTTTGAACTAGCTGAGCTTAGGTTGGGTATATGTTTAGATAATTTTTTTAAATTATAAGTCATATTTTAATGTTTCTAGGTGGGAATATAATCTCAAAAATCTTGATTGATGTTGTCAAGAATGAAAATATATTTTAAATATAAACTATTTCGTCATAGAAGTGTTTTAAGAAAAAAAAAATATTTTTTTGCAAGATGATTAAATTCTCTAGGCATGCCTCATTCAATGAAAACTAAAATATCAAAATACATATCATACTTTTAAAGACAACGTACAATGTACCAATTACCATATCAAATATCAATGGTTCGATTTTCCACCCGTCATTATTCAACTGAAAAAAAGACATTTTGTTATAACCATTGAAAATTAATATTGGTATCATTAGTCTAACAAATCATTTAACTTAAAAGAATATTTTGTTCTAACAACTTCTCACTCTGAAGATTTCCAAGATTATATTCCAAATAAAACATACAAATATGATCCATAATTGAAAATTTTATGTAAAAACATATTATTGCAGTTGGTTGCTGTTGTGTTATTATTATATAGGTAAGTTGGTAGAAGAGTATGATGTGTGTGTGTGTAAATAATATTTGTAGTGGCATTATATTTTTCTATATGAAAAAATATTGCAACTTTCTCTTCTAAATATCAAATTGAATGACCAGCAGGTGTTGGAGTTTCATAATTAATTTGAGGTGTTTTAGGGTTAATTAAGAAGTTTAAAATCTACCCCAGATGATTACAAATTTCCCACCATCCTCTTCTTAGTAGGTGGATTGGGCATCTCTGACATTGAATCGGACAAGGGGACGTGGCTGCATTCGTTAGGTAGCGTTTTTGTTTCTTGTGTTTCAATTTTTGAGAAACAGTATTTCATAATTGATTATGTGTCTCGTTTCTCATTTTTTAGAAATTTTTTGTAGAAATATATATAGAAACAATAAAATCAAGTTTCTCGTTTCTTATCATCTTTTTCTGTTTTCAATTTTTTTTTTCAAAATATAAATTAAAACATTAATTTATTATTCTTGAGTTGTAAAATCTATGATAGATATTAAAAAAATAAATGTAACATAAAAATATTTAATATTTAATTAAAAAAATAGTTTCATACTCATGTGACAGTATTATTTTAACTATTGCATGGTGGATTAATAGCAAGCAGAATCAGACCACGATGACAATAACAAAAACGTAATAGACACAAAACTGAAAGTGCACCAACCTATTAGAATTTTTTTTAATATACAGGGATTGAATACGACACATCACAAATTTAGAATCCAATCAAAAAGTTATTAAAGTATAGAGGCCAAAATTATAATCTTGTCGAAATGAGTAACATTCATTCAACCAATTAAGATATTTTTATCTTTTCAAAAGTTTAGTGATTTGAACCGCGAAAAATAAGTGGAGGAGGACTGAAAGCTACGTTGAATGCCATCTCGCACGGACGTCTCACTTTTAAGGAGTTGAAATGTTAATGAGACAGCCCAATTTAGTGACATTGTGAATTGATAGTTCAACTTTTGAGAATTCAGAGTCCTATGTTGGCCACTTTCATTGTGGATTTGGTCCTTCCACACTATG